ATTCCGTTTCAGCCTATTTCTGGGCCTTGAGTTTTTCCAGCCTGAAACGGAGGGCCTTTTTCAGGCCCTCATTGTTTCGACCACCCCTAAGACTCAGGCACGAATACAGGGTTTCGGAACAGGCCAGAAATAGCCTGTTCCTCACGAGCTTGAGCAGGAGCTGCAGCTGCAGCCCCTGCCTTCCTTCGGCATTGGCAAGAGCAGCCTCCTGGACTGCTCGCACGAGTCAGGAGGCACACTCGGTAGTACATAGGAAGTTCCCATGCACTACACGGGTAGGTAGTTGTCAGTAGGCACGAGTAGTGTTCAGGTTTCGGCCGCACTCAGGAGGAGCGCTGCAGTAGTCTTCAGCGCTAGGCAGTAGTATTAGCGCTAGTAGTAGTCTTCGGCGCTGGGCGCCCATAGCCATAGTGGTAGTCTTCAGCACTGGGCGCTATAGGTGGTAGATCGTAGAGTTGGAAGAGATGGCTGGCGGAGGCCATCGGTACTTACCTGTGGCACCATAGCTCCAGCTCCATCTTCGAGGTACCTGCATCAAGGCGCCAACTTCACAGGTTAGTACTGGACACAGAGAGAGAGAGAGAGTTCTTCTTCTTCCTCTTCTAAGTCCACCATCTCTTCTCACCCTCTCGCCACCTGACTTCTCAGACTACGACAGAGAGAGAAAGAGTTGTGACTTGAGACGTGACGACATTGGATCCAGACTGGACATTTGGGATTCAGACATTTCGACGAGGGACTATTTGGGCCTGTGCCAAGACTTGGTGTTGACGACATTCCCATCTTCCCCTCCTCTTCGTCTAACCCCTCCTTCGTCCGTGTATGGTTGGGGCTGGCGCAGTCTTCTTGTGTGAAGCGCCAGACCCCCTTCACACCAGATAACGATGATGATGATGTGTGTTCAGGGCTGCATTGCAATATTGATTGTTCGGATCATTAGTATCTAAGTCTTCCGCTGTGTTATCTTGTACTTTGTATTGAGAGGTCGGTTCTTGTTCTGGTCTGCAACGTTACAGTATGCAACATAAGTCTCCAACCTCGCGGCTGGCCTTCTCGTACTTCCACCAATAGGATGAGAAAAATTGGATGAATCTACCGCTAGAACATGTTTTTTTTTTCGGTTTTTTCTTTTGGTGTGTGTGAGAGAGAGAGAGAGAGACGGCGGGAAGAGGGAGAGAGAGAGAGAAGTAGCGATGGTGGATGGCAGAAGGCAGGAGAAAGGCCGAAGGTGGGATGGTGGGAAGCGATGAAAGAAGTCGGGAGGAAGGGGAGAGAGAGAGAGAGAGAGAGAGCAGGTAAGTCTCCAACCTCCTGGCTGGCCTCCTGGTACTTCCATCGAAATGAAGAGCAAAATCGAATGAATCTACCGCTAAAACATGGAAATATACACTGCCACTTTTTTTCTTTTTTTTTGTGTGTGTGTTTGTTTGTGCACCATTTCTTCTTTTGCACCTTTTCTTCTATGCACCCCCAGCGCACCCGCGTGCAGCACATCAGACGTGTGCAGTGCACTGCGCACCCAGAGGCGCGGTGAGAGCCGGTTCGTGTGCACCTCGGGTTCGCGCACAGCGCGCTGCGCAGCGCACAGGGCCGGTGCGCCGCAGGTATGTTTTTTTTATCATTTCTTTTCCTTTTTTCATGGACCTTCCCTGACCCTTGCCCAGCCGGGCGTGCCTGGGTAAACAAGGTGACCAGGGCAGCCCAGTTGGTAGCCCAGATTTAATAGTTATTATGCAATATGAGGATAACACATGCAGCTCAACGCTCAACATTCCTTCTTATAGGCTGTGATCCGAGTTCAACTCTGAGGAATCAAGCTCGTATCCTCCCGCCATAGACTGTGTTCTATACAAGCACGTTTAGTAAAAGTCCAACCACAATACATATGACGATGGGTTCAGCCTTCCGATGAGTCGGTGAAACTCCAACGAAACACGTTGTCACAGCCCCTCGTTTGTTGTCCTCCTCTCCCTCTGTGCCTACGGTTTACCGGCCAGCTCTGTTTGACGATACATATATACACCGTCAAACAGAACTGCCCAGTAAACTGTCCGCAGAGAGGGTGAAGAGGACAACAAACGAGGGGCTATGACAAACTGTTTCGTCGGAGTTTCACCGACTCATCAGGAGGCTGGACCCTCAACAGTCTGCAGAATCCCCTAACTGATTACACTGTAAGTGATAATCCACCTTAACACCCGTTGTAGTTAAAGCACCAACCACTGCCCTCAAGGTACCTGCGACGAAAATCAGAGTAGACTATCACTCACCCACACCAGATGGAAAACTCTACAGACTGTCGGTTCACCTCCCATACAGCAAAACACCCACAAAACAAGGAAAGGTCTATCGCAGCCAAAAAATACACTCCAGAGTCCAGACACGCCGCTGCCACTAGAGGCACAGCATGGCCGTGTAGTGATGGCCCTGACCACAGACGCTCAACCTGACCGGAGAAAACCGTAGCAGGATGCTATCGAAGTCATGATATATATCGTCAAAGAGAACTGCCCGGTAAACCGTATATACGCTCAACCTAACGAAACAGTTTGTCACAGCCCCTCGTTTCTTGTCCGCTTCTCCCTCTCTGCCTACGGTTTACAGGGCAGCTCTGTTTGGCGACATATATCTTCAAACAGACATATATATCGAATACATCGTCAAACAGATATTTCTATCGAATATATCGTCAAACAGAGCTGCCCGGTAAACCGTAGGCAGAGAGGGAGAAGAGGACAAGAAACGAGGGGCTGCGCCGGAGTTTCACCAACTCATCAGGAGGCTGAACCCTCAACAGTCTGCAGAATCCCCTAACTGATTACACTGTAAGTGATAATCCACCTTAACCCCGATTGAAATTAAGCATCAACGACTGCCCGACAACTGATACCTTGAGGTGGGCACCAACCACTGTCCTCAAGGTGCTCGTGACAAAAATCAAAGCAGACTATCACTCCCACCCACACCAGATGGAAACTCTACAGACTGTCAGTTCCCACCCCATCACAAGCCAGCAAATCACCCACGAAACAAAGAAAGGTCTGTCACAGACGAAAAACAGACTCTAGACACACCGCTGGTACTAGATGCACAGCATGGCCGCGTAGTGATATGCAATCAACCCAGTCAGATGAGAAAATCGTGAATGTAGAAATACAAGTCTGACACAGCGTAGAATCCATGTCTCCAAAAACCGTTTATGAAACCATGCCCATCATACCTGTAGTCTCCCAATGTCTCGAACTCAGAGAAGAGAATGAGGAGAGAGGGATAAGAGACTGAGAGCAGGAGGAGGAGAGTTTCCACAAGAATAACAAAGCAGAACCCCCTCTTCAAGCCCACTTCCTCCTTGGGCATCTCCCTCACTCGCCACGTCAGCAATACAGTTCTCCGCTGACGTTCTCTGACATATACAACGAACAAGTCACAGCAGGGCAACCATCCTTCAGCCATGTCAGCAGCAATCAAGGAGGATGGCGCAGATCTTCCTCTTGGAGATGAGCAGCAAAGCACGCGCAACGTCACAGGTAAGTCCCGGTAAGCTTCTCCTCATCACTCACACCAATCTCACAGTCCAGATCCCCCTCCTCGCCCGCACTCCTGTCAATGCCGAAATCAATGTGGCTATGGCCACGTCAGCATAGTCACCCTCAAGGCTGGCGCCCACACTCAGAAACTGGTGCCAGCATAAAGCTCCAGCAGGCTTGCTTTGTCGCACCGGCATCAGGCCAGCGCCAGGCAGAATGCACAAGACCAATGCAGCGCCAGGCAGAATGCACAAGACTGAATGACCTCCAAGCAGGGGCTGGGTCAACTTATACTGTTAACTCACTTTGACAAGACTCTGGTCCCCTGCGATCGACAGCCCAGATCAATCTGAAGCAAATGGCCTGGATGCTGTACAGTTGCAGATTTCCCACCCAGTTGGACCGGATTTTTCTGTAATCTGTTGCAGCTTCGCTAGCAGACATGAACTCTACAGGTCTATAGCCATTGCCATCGTCTTGCTGTAAGACAACACCTATGCCACGCTGACTCGCGTCGGTAGTAACAACGAAAGGCAGGGACGGATCAGCTACCTTGAGGACTGGATATTCTATCAAAGCCCGCTTCAACTTCTTCAGGACTACAATCTTTGTCCCACTTCCAGATTGCTTCTTTCTTTAGCAGCCTGCAAAGGGGTGCAGCGATGGTGGAAAAATTCCTTACGAACTTCCTGTAGTAGTTGGCTAAGCCTAGAAATTACCGCAACTCTGTCAACATGCGGGGCGTCGACCAATTTCTAATTCCTGCTATCTTAC